GTGCAATTCAATTCGTGCGCCGTGGAGGGTCCCACGTTTCGCTAGAATTACGTGCCGCGACTTGTACTACGGTGCAAACGGGAAATTAGTATTATAATAATACATTACCTTATAAAAATGGACATCATAATATGTTAGCCCTAATGATTACCAACTTCGCTGCCACCCACGCACCGGTGCGTGTGGGGATAGTTCAAGCGAGGCGCAACGGTGCGTGCTCACGCTGAGTAAAGTTCATTCAGTCAGTGCAGCGCCGGCATTGGGCCAGGAAAGTTGTTTTTGAAGCGGCATTACGCTTGAACTTCTAAAATTCCGTTGTGTCTTTGTGGTATTTTACCTATCGTGAACGGTTCTGTTGTCTTTTATTGTTTTTTTCTGTTCTTGCGTATAAAAATGGACTCTGAACAAGGCTCTTCTGTGTCTAAAAGGCAGCGGAAACAGGTGTTTTATGTTACATATGACAGTGATATAGAAGAGGCACTGTATGGTACCGATTCTGAGGATAACTTCCAGCCTGATGAGGCGAGTTCGGCATCAGAGAGTGAAGGTGAAGAGGTGAACCTATTCACTATAGAATTGCGACCTAGTACACATCGATTACTGTCATCCTCAGCCCAGGGACAAGAATTACAGTCAAATCTATCACCTGCATCTAGTCTATAGACTCACAGGAACAAATCCAACCAAACCAACCATCTGCGGCAGGCTCAACTTTTAATTGGACAGCAATTGGTGAGATGAAAGAAATTGATTTCACAAAATGTTACGAATTTTTTGGCGAAGTTACTGGAAAAATTCCTATAGATTATTTCAACTTGTTTTTCACCGAAGATTTTTTGTCCATGATTTGTATGGAGACAAATGCACAGGCAGAAAGGTTAATGGATAAAAATAAAAGGCACTTTAACACCTCCGTGGCGCAGTGGCTTAGCAATCAGTTGTTGCGCTGGGGGCCGCGGGTTCGAATCCCGCACGGAACAAGTATTTGTATGGCCTACAAATAATTGTTCCGGGTCTGGATGTTTGTCCTTGTGCAATTTATGTTTGTAAACTGCCTCCACGACACAGGAGAAAATCCTAGAGTGGGGGTAACGTTTTATAAAGTAAAAAAAAAAAAAAAAAAAAGGCAAAGAACTGATTGGAGACAAGAACGACAAAGAAGAGATCATTCAAGGATAATTGGATGGAAACCGATCGCTGGTCCGGAGCTAAGGATTTTTCTTGGATTGTTGTTCCACATGGGAACTATCCCTCTCAGTCGACTTCAAGACTACTGGAAAACGGATAGGTTGTTCTCGATACCAATTTTTGGACAACAAATGAGCAGGAATAGGTTTCTCTTCATAATGCGATGCTTGCATTTTAGCTCAGATGAAGAAAGTGGGGACCCGTTGCTTAAGATACGGAGTATTATTAATTACTTCAACAACAAAATGAATGCATGCCATTATCCTTCAGCGCAGTTGTCCTTGGATGTAAGTATGATACTATGGAGAGGGCGACTGAGTTTTCGGCAAATTATTAAGAACAAACGCCATAAATATAGCATAAAATTGTAGATGCTGACGGAAGGCGTATTTTGAGTATATGCAGGCGGAAAAGACACAAGTCACAGGAAAGGGACATGCCGAAAAAGTGGTCATGCAGCTTCTTCAGGAAAAACTAAATAATGTATATAATATTAATTATTATAATAGTTTTGGTTTGGCGAAGAAGCTACTTGATAATAATGCACCGGCACTCTGCGAATTTAAAAAGAAAATCCGCGAGAAGTAGTTCAAAAAACTTTAAAGAAAGGGGAGATCTGCTCAATGTTTCAGGCAACAGTGCATGTTGGTAAGTGGAAGGACAAACGTCCTGTCCTTTATATTACTACCCAGTATGAAGATGGAATGGTGCCAGTCGCAAAAAAACGAGGCCAAGTTACTCATAAGCCGGAAACCATATCAAAATATTACGACTATGTCAGGAGTCAACAGGCAGGACAAGCTCTTATCCTTATACCCTTGCGAAAGAAAACCTTTACGTTGGTATCTAAAGGTAGAGCAATCCACACGTTCCAGTTGCTCTTCATCAATTCAATGAAGATTTACAATAAATATTCAGGGCAACCTTAAATAACTCTTTATAATTACCGGATGAATGTCATAAATGCTCTGTTACCAGAAAATCGACCAGAAAGACCTTCAAATATCCAAAGAAGACTGGTTTCTCATCATATAAAGAAAACTGTTGAAACCTTACCAAATGGGCGACTCAAGCGAAAGCCATGCCGCCAGTGCACCAAGAACTAAAAGCGTACTGACTCTCCCTGGTATTGTAACGACTGTTCTGACAAGCCTGGACTATGTGTACAGTGCTTTGATAATTACCATTCAGAACTTGAACCGTAATTATAATTCCTGCCTTATATGTATTGGTTATAAGATAAACATGTTTGCTTGTTACGTGATAATGTGTAATAAGATCCTTATTTTGTTAGCGATATGTAAGATGAGTGTAATAAAAGTTACAGTTGATTAAATGCATGTGTATATAATTCAAAAACACCATAAAACCTGTAAAAAAACTGAAAACGCACCGGTGCGTGTTACGGTGCGTACACATTATATAACATAACATGTTATAAAGTAATGTGGAGACTGTATGTTATGAAACATGTTATATAACACGAAAGGCAGAATGACAAACGTCTATGTCATATAACATTGTTATATTGCATTGTTATTCTAATGTGTACAGTATTGTTATATGTTGCAATGTTAAAAAACAATGTTACATAATGTGGACGTGTTATAAAACAAAAGTTACACAACATGTTACTTAATCTGTACGCACCCTAACGCATTGGAAATGAAATTTTCATTCCCAGTGCCTAGCACGCACCGGTGAGTTTACTTTCCCCTCCCACTAAATACCGTCCCCCCTTAGGTTAATTATCATAATATATAAAATGTATATATAAGTTTAAAAAAAATTATATATATCATATATGGCCTCCCGGTTGAAATTTGGGGATGTATAGGCAGCGAAGTTGTTAAGCCATATAGGCTTTTCGGCGAGAGTTGATAAAAAAATTATATACATAGCATAGGTTCCTCAACTAATTACAAATTGCGGCCCGGTAATTATTTTTTGGTACATAATAAAAAAAGGCCGGCCTCGCGCTTGACAACATCTGCGAGCCTCGTACCACAAAAATCCTCGCTTGAGGCGATTAGCGACACCCTTCACACAGATTGCGATATTTAGGCGACAGTCGCTATTGCGAAAAGTTTTCATAATATTTATCAACTCTCGCCGAATAGACTAAGTAAGTCACAAATTAATTACATAAGGCACTTTAACCAGTTCCATATAACTATTACGATATCATGACATACAATAAATAATAATATGCATCAGAAATAACTATAAAACCATCATTTTGCTACCTATTAATTCATACAATTTACCGCATCCAAAAATATTAAATATTTACAAAGCTATGGCTCTAATTTATAAAATCGTTACTTAAAATATATCTATGGGGCGATGAGAATGTTTTCCTAAATACAGTTAGATTTGAATTGATTTTAAATTGCTATTTGAAGATACATACTGTTAATTAAAAAAGTAGTTTATAAATAATTTAATGCCATTGACTGCATCCAATTACCTAATATTTGTGAAAATGTCAAAAATATATTGTGTATATACTGTACTCAAAATAAAAAAAATAAAAATTAAGTGGTATGGTAACACAGGTGATAAACAATATAGTTAGGGGTTAATAAAAAAAAAACGTGCGTGTGTACTTATGTACGCACGTAAGAAGTTATACTTCTTTAGCGTAACAAAACAAAAATAACAAAAATAAAACACGTTTTATAGATTCATATATATTTGAATAACTACCTTGAATATAATTATCAGTTCTCACGAAAACGTGACAGTTCACAGACAATTACCAAGTGAAGTTGTCGCTTTTAGGTTTCGATGTGCGAGCGCATCGTAACAACTTCATGGTGTCGTTTTTAAGTGTCGATGTGCGTGCGCATCGTAAAAAAATCACTCTCATCATTTTTCTGAAATGCGCCAAAAGAAGTATAACTTCAAAAAATAAAAACGCATTATCTAACTAAAACAGGGATGAAAACATTTTTGTAAATTTGTTTTAAATATTATGTTGTCAGTTGAGTAACGGATTCCTACTAGATGAGTATCACATATCGTCGCCATAATATGGCTTCAATTTAATATTTAACAGATTAGTCTATTATTATTTTTAATATTATTTAAGTCCCCACCCGCTTTTTCCGCTATCGTTCTAACAATATATTAATAAATAAATATATTGCATGACATATTTGGCAATGTTATTTCGCAGTCGGTGGGCGAAAATGCCGGAAACAAATGCTTTAATGTAGAAAAATAAATGCTGTTTCATAGTTTTATTGAACACGCGTCATTTTAATATGGCAACTAATTAGATGTACGATATAAAATTTATGCGCACAAAATTTCACGCATTCACACAATTTTATAATTTTTAAATAATTCTTGTCATTGCATTTTCTATTAATAGACACACCAAGCTTATATACTTAGGAACATTTTTAATTTATAATACAGACTTCGCTTTCTGATGGTTTACAATTTTTACCACCAGAGGCGCCACTAAGTCACTGTCGAACATGCCTTTTTTAACCGCAACGTGGCTGAACGTCTCTGTATTAGAGATGCCACTTCAATGGTTGATTCCAAAATGACGAGTTAGACAAATTTATCTAAATTACAATATAAATGACAGGGTAGTAACGTTCGCGACAGCAGCGCCACCATCACTTAGCGTTAACCCATCAAAACATATATTTTTTTCGGTTTAATTAAATACTTAATTACCCAACAACACTGCAATAACCCATTGATCTACAAGTAACTATATTTCAATGTACAATAAGCATCAAAACATTGACACAGCCGCTTATAATCATTAAATAGTATAGATAAAATTATAGTTAGCTTTTGTTGAACGGTGAATAATTACATGTGAAAACACCTTTCATGACATCTGATACAAGCATCTTACTTGAAGTGCAATTAAAGTTGGTTAAGAGCTCCAGGTTGTTTGGAATAACATCACAGGCAAGCGTGAGATTCTGTGCCATGCTGGCGGCAATGGGTGCCACAGTCGTAGAATTTTGCAGGGCTTTGATGTCATCTGCTTTGAAGATCAGCGAGCCCCACGTAGGATAGGCTCCCCATATGATGAGAGTGGTTATGATTTTGGGGCCTATGCCTCCGACAGCCTATAAAAAAATTGAATGTTATTAATATTAATCTAAGATATAGTTAACCATTGGTAAGTTGCACTTAATGATTACTTGATATTTACGCGAACAATACAATGTTTGTTTCTGAGGGCACAAGGCAACTGTGAGAACAAACACCTGGCCAACGAGTTCCTACCTACGTATAACGAAATGGGGCTGATTTAGAAACTACACTTGGAAGGAAATAAATTGAGCCAATTCTTTTTTTTTTTTCATGTATTATGGTTAATATTTTTGGTAAAAAGTCGGCTGTGGCAGAATACTAGCTGTGACCTCAAATCACCACATAGCTGGGTCACAGGCCAGTTTGTCTCATTGTTTTATGTTACCTAATGTTATCAGTAATTGTTAAATAATTCCTATTCTGAGTCATTAAAATAATAAATGTGTAATTATCGTTTTGTTTTTTTTTTAATTACAAATATAAAATAGATTATAAGTCATTGTATTGTCATAATAATTATCATGGATAATTTCCTTAGTTTATTTTAATTTAGAATTTGGGAGATTTGTAAAGAATATTATATAAGTATTTTCATTTGCTAAACAATTGTAATTAAATTGACTTATCAGTAATATTTATAAGAGTGGTTTACTTATTTTCATATTATAAAAGTATTTGGATTGTATAATTCTTACACATTCGAATTGTTGCTAGGTTCAATTTGGATAGGTAGTAGGGTTAGCTACCACCATTGTTTGATATTATTTAAACGATTGCAATAATGATTGAGGGGATTTTTCGTGCTGTGAAATTAGTAAAGGAAAGAACTAACAATCAGGCGTATTATTATTATTATTATTCCTTTCTGCGACTCCTGTAATACTAAGTATGTTTCTAGACAAGTTTGTAATAATCTGTTTTGTACACTTTTAACTACCATGTGTGAATTGGGACGAATAAAAATCTTTATTATTATTATTCTATGGAACGTATGCTGGAACCATGTGCGGCGATATTCAGCCAACGATAGGTCGTCTAAAATGTCAACCAACTGTTCATTTATAAAGTATAGGTATCGCTGTCTGTTAAGTCGCTGTGGCAGAAACACTGGTCCCAGTATGCGATCCTTAAATATACCATATATCGCCTAAAAATTTATTGAATTATCTATAAAATGAAGGTAAATTGGACGTGGTTATGCAAAAAGGATCCAATCCGAGTTTGTGTTAAATAATATTCGTAAAAACTGGTACAATAGTTATGGGATGTATCTAAGTGACCTTTATCCGAACGTTAAATGTGAATAGCGTTTATTGGTTTCGGTGCGAGAAGTTATCGAATCCGAGTCGATTTCCCTTTCCGAGACGATTGTGAATAGCCCGGCAGGAGTAGATTGTTTACAAAATGACAGAGTGATAGAAAATGACGAGATATAAAACAATGTAAAAATTAAAAATTAATAGAATGTTGGCAGTGATGACCTATGGATCTGAGATGTAGTGTTTAACTGCTGGCCATATGAGGAAGCTCAAGGTCACTCAGCTAGCTATGGAGAGGGCTTTGCTCGGGGTTTCTCTGCGTGATAAACTTAGAAATGAGGATATCCTCAGTAGAACCAGAGTGACCGACATAGCCAGACGGATTAGTAAGCTGAAGTGGCAATGGGCCGGCATGTAGCTCGAAGAACCGACAACCGATGGGGAAAAAAGGTTCTCGAGTGGCAACCTCGTAACAGTAGGCGAAGTGTACGGCAACCCCCTACTAGAAGGAGTAACGACCTGGTAAAACATGCAGGAATTCGATGGATGCAGGTGGGTCAGGACCGTGCTTTGCGGCATTCCTTGGTGGAGGCCTATGTTCAGCAGTGGACTTGTGAAGTTACTTTTGACATTACTTTGCGGAAATCCATTGATAAGACACATCAATTTTATTTTATTACGCGGTTATAAGCAAATTCATTTGTAACAACTTCAATAAAAATCATTTTCTGATGATAATTGATAGCAAAACCGAGCAATTTAGAAATGATCTAATCTTTCGCATTATGCGAAGTTGGAACTTCCCTTTGACCATTATTTAGAAAATTAAAAAAAATATATTTCACTCACCATTTTAGAAGTCGGTATGTGGGCAACTCCGGCCACTATTGCGTTAGGTGGAGTTCCAACGGGCATGTGGAAGGCCATCGAGCAAGCCAACGCTGCAGGCACCATGAGGTAGCGTGGGTCCATATCCAACGTTCGCGCCTGTTGGTCAAATAATATAATTATTTCATAATTTATAACCGACGTTAGTTTTTTTACCAGACTGCGCGACACAAAGGAAGGTGAAGAGTTTATCAGCCTATTTTTTTTTATAGGATAGGGTGACAAACGAGCACACAGTCCACCTGATAAGTGGTTGCTGTGACCCATAGACATCTACATTTATCCTCAATGAAGAATCAAAATGCAGAATACGTTGTCACCCGTGAGGACTAAGATGGAATGCCTCTTCTGCAGTAAAAAGCGTTTCCGGTTCTCTACACTTACCATACGATACACAGCAGTGTTAAGCTGCTATTTTGGTATTCTGTGAGAAATATGTATGTTAGTTCCTTTGTAGCGCTCTAGAGACCAAGCATGTGGGCCGATTTTGACGATTCCTACTTAAATCGTTTTGTCTTAATCTTGTGTCACTAAAGACTTGATAATAACCAAAATTCAATATGGAGACAACCAGACGCCATATTACGAAAAAGAAAAAATGAAAGTCGAAGAACTATGCCAAGTAGGGTATCATTGAATGAGTCTTTGAAAATCATCCCTAGGTCTCTGTAATCATTTTTGATTTTGAATGACCATTTAGGATCGAAAACGATTTAAGGTTCGTTTACAATTATTATCAATTATGATTATTCAGTTCTCACTTTTCAGTAAACTGTTTTACGCAGTCGCGTTTTTATAAAATTACTGTTTGGTTACTTCAATGTTATTAAGCTTGTTTAATAACATTGAAGTGACCAATAAAGTTGTTTAAAGCATGTTTTTCTTCTTTTTGTATACCTAATAAGTAATTTTTACACAGTTTCTCCAAACTGAACAAGTATATTTTAATGTAATTTTATTACACGTAGCTGTATCGATTATCAAGTGTTTTACAGCAATATCACTTCTGTTGAGGCAGGGGTCTGGTGATCCCATAGCACAGGGCAACCTAGTTATTAGTTATTATTAATTACAGCTGTTATTTAGTTGTATAGTTCACTGTTACTAAGTTTATTGTGATGTACTGGTCATAATATGTGGGAGAAAATGAATACCAATTATTATTATTTTGGGGTATCTATAAAGTTTTCTCATCTGGTTGGGCAGTATAAATATATAATTGTAAATGAAAATGGTTAACATACATAAATATCAATAAAATAAAATAAATACATAAAAAATACAAAAACCCAACCAGATGGAAGCCCTCGGCAGGGGAGACCAGACGGCCGAGGGTTAGGGGGAAAGGGAAAGAAACCGGCGGACGATGCGGGCGGTATCGAGGAGCACCGTCTTCTGCATTTGAGCCTGGAGCGGTCCGTCACGGAGTCCCAGTCGCCTCAGATGACCCGGGAGGCTGACTGGGATTAACCCGTTCGCAGAAACGACCACAGGAATAATTTCGGTCGGCAGACCACCCCACATGCCGGTAACCTCGTGAGCCAGGTCCAGATATTTTGTCACCTTATCTGTTTCGGCTTTCACGAGCTAAGTAGCGGTTAGCCACCGTAGAGTCTATATCACCTGAGGATGCCTCGTGTAGAGGCGAAACACGTGTCGTATTGTCGTCAGTGGTGTGTCTTGCCTAGTGTAGTGGTGTTGGGAGTAGCGGTGCTGGGATTAGTGGTGACGGGGATAGTGCACTCAAATAATTTTGGCTTTACATGTCTAAAAACGAGGATTGTAACTTTTGCTTTCGTATAAAATTAAACTTTTATCTTATATTTTATACCACACTTTTGGTTGAAAATTATCTTATTAAATAAATAATATGCTGTGAAATATTTTTCTTTTATATTTCATTTTCACTTCTACCGCGTGTAAACTGAACACAATATGTTTTTTTTTTGTTTGAAATTGGTTGCTAACGTCCATGCCTGCAGTAGTTGCTTACCATCGGGTGGACTTTAAGCTCGTTTATCACTACAGTTTTATAAAAAAAAAAATGGCCACTTACCATATTAGCCAACACGGGTAAGATGAGATTGGCAATGGCAACATTGGAAGTGAATTCGGTGATAAACTGCGTCACCAACACCACAACTAGCAACACTATAGCAGGGTGCATTCCATGTAGACCGTTCAGTGATGTGCCAATCATTGAGGATAAACCTGTTGCCTTACTGCCTTCTGCGAGGGCGAAGCCTCCACCTGTAAAGATTATACCATCCGATATAAGTAAAAATAGAATAAAATTAGAGTTTAAAGTTACAGCCTCGACATATCGAATAGTGTGCAGTTTCGTGGTCACTTGGAAGGGAAGGCCAAATTGGCCTCTAAAAAGCTTGGTGTACTCAGCAGAGCGGGACAGTATTTCATGCCGGCACATCGCTTGCAACTTTAGAAAGCGCAAGTTCGGCCTCACATGGAATACTGTTCTCATCTCTGGGCCGGGGCACCCCAGTGCCAGCTCCTTCCACTTGACCGCATCCAGCGCAGAGCGGTTCGAATCGTCTACGACAGAGTTCTTTCTGATCGGCTCGATACACTGGCACTGCGTAAGGATGTTGTATCCCTTTGCATTTTCTATCGAATTTACCACGGTGAGTGCTCTGAGGAATTGTTCGGATTAATTCCAGGCACCAAATTTCACGAACGCACATCGCGTCAAAATTCACGATACCATCCTCACCATCTAGATGCTTGGCGGTCCACGACTGTGCGTTTTACTAGGAGTTTTCTTCCTCGTACAACTTCTCTGTGGAATTGTTTACCACCGGCGATTTTTCCGGACCGATATGACTTCGGGACCTTCAAGAAAAGAACTTACACCTTTCTAAAAGGCCGGCAACGCATCTGCGATTCCCCTGGTGTTGCGGTTGTTCATGGGCGGCGGTAGTCACTTACCATCAGGTGAGACGCATGCTCGTTTACCCCCTCTTCCATATAAAAAAAACAGCCTTTAAACGTCCCACTGCTGATCACAGGCCTCTTCTTGCTTCTGAGAGTTTTTAGAGCAAGGAAGTGTAGGCCGCGCTGCCCCAATGCGTGGAGTTCACGTGTCATCGAAATATTTTTCTTATTTCTCAGACATGCAGGTTTCCTCAGGATGTTTTCATTCACCGCCGAGCGAGCACGTGGTAAATTAGCACTTAAAATTGCAACTAACATTTTGGGATCGAACCCGGGTTGCTGTGAAATTTTCAGCGAGCGCTAAGCCAAGCAAATTAGAGTTTAAGCAAACTAAAACAACTAGCGAGAATAATAAGGTCATAATCCTGAAATTATTATTTTATCAATAGTTCTTACTATATCTGCCAAATTATAAATTATTTTGATGTCCGTAAGCGGGTAGGACTTGCATTAAAAATTCCATTACACCCATACATGTTTAGGTGGGCAATTTTAGGGCCATTTTACTAGGTAGAGAGTCCAGGTGTACACATAAAAAATAATCTCAGGTGTCCCGGAAACGATGCTGCCAAATTCGGTCTTCAGCTTTGACAGTTGGCTTTTTCTGGCAGACCGACCTCTGGCAAAGACTTTGGAGCCCTGGTTCCACTCGATCGCTTCTTCAATACGAGCTGTATTGTAGATGCGTAAGTTCCGCCGCATGCATTTGGAGAGCTGTCTGTTCAGTTGCCTGTATACTGTCAAATATGCTAATTACTGCGGCTTCATTATACAGCTGCCCACAGAACCTCTCAATCTAACTCAAAATTTCAGATTGTGTCAGAATGAATTTTTTAATACAGTTGCTCAAAAAGTGGCGTATTGCAGGGACGTATAGCGTTCGGGGTGTGGGCTATTACATACTCGTGCTTTTTCTTTACCTTTTTCGAACCCGTGTGTTCTCTTTTCCAACTGTCAAAATAATGTCTATTAAAAAGAAAAAAATCAACCACGAAGTTTTTACTAAAAAAAATTCATACAATTTTTATGATTCATCCAAATATTTCTAAAAAGAAGCCTACTAATTTGTTTCAATATCAGATTTAACGATTTGAATCAATGAGTTAGGTTTCATTTCATTTCATCTCATTAAATTTAATTTTCATTTCATATCAATAAAAGACTTGGCTGTATGGGCATAGTTCCCTTTGCCTACCCAGAATGGGTGAAGAAAACAAAAAAATCTCTGCTTATATTCTTTTACGGTTGGCGCCATTTTCCAAAAATGTTCTTTATTAAATTGCTTCATTTTTTCGCAACTGTATTAAAAATTGTTTTCAGTACACGTGCGGAACCGTCATTGCAACTTGTTCCGACTGTCAACCCTCACCTTCGGCTGCGCCTCGGATCCGGTAGACATTCGTCGGAACTCTTTGCAATGACAGGCTTTCCGCACTCGTAATGAAATATACTATTGGCATTTTCTGTTGAATTCCATACTTTACATTTTAGTTCGCTTATCTCTACGGAACTGCTTTATTGAAATAGATTCCGGTTTAAGCATGAGACTAATCACAAAACGTGGTTTATTAAAGCTACCAAGAGTCAGGTCAAGACCATGTTTTGTGACTGCCCTTGGAGAAGCCTATGTTCAGCAGCAAACTTGTAATGAGCTTCAATGATGATGATCATGGCCTTCACATTATACTTAACTGTAAAATATATAAAGCACTACAAACCCAACAAGAATAAAAGACCCCATGGAATCTTTTCCTTCAAAATGCCCCAAGTGACAACACCCGAAGAAGGCTTGGACGCTGCCAGTTCTTCATCTGAAAAACAACAAACAAATTTAAAAATAAATCCTTTTAGTGCACAGTTATAAAAAAAAAAACTGAAGAGTATGGCCTATTATTTTCACTTAAATATAATTAATACAATAAGTGCCCTTTTAAATATTATATAATATGAACTTTTTGGTTATTATAATATTAAGGAATTTATGAATGATAATAACCCCTGGGAATGAGGTGATCGCTACCGAGCTATGTCTAATTTGTTTTGTGTTGTTAATTGTGTTACATACATGATTGTAAGCTGTTCTTTTAAAAAGTCCCGCTGGGTTCCTTGCTGGTTCTTCCCAGGACAGAGGTTTTTTTCGAACCAGTGGTAATTATATACAATAAACAAAACAGTAACTTTGGACGAACTATGTGTTTCATCCTGTAAAAACTACTCAGATAGACGCTCTGATGCTATGGATGGCATCACATTGAATTTGTAAGTAATTTTATACCTAATTTATTAAAAAGGTTCTAGAAAAAGAAGCTCTGCGTCAGCTTTCAAATGTATTTAAATATATTCGACACTAGATGGCGACACATTGTGTCATGGGAACTAAAAATATAAAGGTACGTAGAGCTCAGTATTGGCTCTCTATTATTTATTCTGTGGTATTGGTAAAATAATCATACTAAAGTGTTGAAATTTGTTTTGCATCAGTCCTAAAGAATTTTTAATCGCCAAAATATTATTTTTATAGTTTTTATAATCATTTTGTGAACAGGCCGCCATCTATCGTCAAGATAGCTAAACTACATTGCAACATCGATATGGAACGACGCGAGTAGTTTTACTATTTATCGGTAAATGGAAAATGGTAAAGTGGGAGGGGCTTAACATCCCCTCACCCCGCAAATTGTCACGCGTTGTTACATAGCGAAATCTAATTACAACACCTCCTCTTTGTATTTGCTCTGTGGTTGCAACTGAGGATGAAGTTGAAGGATTTGCAGTTGTAAAATCTTCACTAGATGACTCTTCTTGGCGTTGTTGAAGGATAGTATGCATACAACTTGGCCAATCTACACTAGCCTCTAGCCAATGTTCGTATTCTTTCCGAAATCTATCACTATTTTAACAGGTTGTCTTCCACCTCCGTTCAGCAGTGTGAATCTGCGACAAAATACTCTGAGAGTAACAATGTCTTCTTCAGAAAGCGTAATACCTAGTCGAGTTAACATTTCACTAAGCAATACTTCATGATTATATGAAGTATTCTGACTTTTCAAAATTGTAACTAAATCCAGATTAATAGTTAAACTTTCCATATTGTCAATCACTGATGTTCATTATTGAGAAGTTCAGAAGAAACTGACCTAATAAATATGTTTTTGGCCTATTTATGACCATTTAATAATTATCTATTAATGCCACTTTATTAAGTAAGATGAAAAAGCAGAAATATTAGTAATAAGCTTTTTGTGAACTAGTGCTAATTAAGAGATTATTAATTACCTACCTACAAAATCTCGTATTCATTGTATCCAGCTTTTCTTAATTAATCGAGTTCTTAAAAGATCTGACTACGACTCATTAGTAGTACGAGCAAACACTAATGGTTTTACTATCGGTTTTTGTTTTCTTCTCAGAAGACCTCAGTAGATTCAAAAATATTTTTATTACCATCGGATGGGGGGTGGTTTGATGTTGTTATAAAACTTTCTTACGACATATTTTAAGCAAAAAAAAAAAACCGTTTCAGTTATCTTTCTACATTTTTTTATAGGATAAGGGTGACAAACGAGCACACAGTCCACCTGATGGTAAGTGGTTGCTGTGGCCCATAGACATCTACATCTATCTTCGATTAAGAATCAAAATGCAGATGCGTTGTCACTAGAGGGGACTAAGATGGAATGCCTCGTTTCAAGTAAAAAGGGTCTCCGGTTCTCTACACTCATCAAACAAAACATAGCAGGGTTAAGCTGCTATTTTACGCTGGTATTCTGTAAGAGCATTTAAAACAAGTTCGAAAAATAAGCATTTTTTTAATATTTGAAGATTCAAAAAAAGTGCAATATTTCCCGTAATATGAAGTATGTCAAAAAATCATAAATAATTATTACTATAACTTCCTATAAGGATATAACGCGCAATTTTGCGATTCCAGGGTTATACTGATTATTCGTATTCTTCTCCATACATTTATTTTTCTTCGTAAAAAAAATCATAAGTTCTCTGTTTTTACGCCAAATTACTTCGTGTGACATTTTTGACCACAGTAATACTAAACAAAATCCATTTCAAGCTCAAAAAACGACACTTAAAACTTAAAGTCTTCGAAACGCGATTTTCGATCCAGTGTGCGCCGGGCAAGGTGATGGGCCCAAGGAGCGGCCAACGCTCCATGTGTAATTTCGGAGCTGTTCTATGTATAGCGCGGTAACTTCAGAACTTTGATAGCGCGATTTAGAGTTCGGTTTGTTTCGCCTGTCGACAGCACCGCCACAAGCTAGATAAAACTGTCGGTTAATGGTGTTGTTGCCACTCAAAATACTAACCATTTAGTATCTTCTGACTGATGTACAATGTCGTCTTTTTATGAATACAAAAATACATAGTAAAGTGAGAGCGTGGTCCCTCCCCGGTCAAGTCGACTCAATCGTGCTACAACCACAATATAGATGTAGCATGACTCTACCACGTATCACGTGGTGTTTCTGTCGCTCACGCATAAATATACTATCGTCACTCCCGCACATATGAGGCGACAGCTATCGTCAGATATTGCGAACCCTTTTTAACCATAACAATGGCTTGTTCTTTGATTTGCCTTGACATTGTTATTAATTTTTAAACCTTGGCGTCGTGCGGTGAAGTTCCTAAAGGATCTCTATCCGCGACTGAACGTCGCTGCTGGTGATAAGAGGCCTAGTTCTTTTCTCGCTCAAAGGCTAAGTATAGCCATTTAGCGAGGAAACGCAGTCAGCGTTCTTAGCACGGTACCACGGGGAGCAGGACTGTATGATAATTTAAGTTCTTAGTTTTAGTTTTTGTTTGTTTATTACAGTTTTTTAACATTGAATATTTTCAATTTTCATTTATTTTTAAACTAAAATTTTAACGAGATAAAGTATTTCGGATGCGCTTGTGATTATTCAGTTCTCAGTTGCGTCGTTTTTGACGTTAAGTTTATTGTGTGCGTTTGTTTTGGGTGAAAAATGGCCATACTGTCATGAGACAAAATTTTACTAACACCAAACTTACTGTATTCACAAATAAATAAATGAATTTGAATTAGAAAATTAGGATAAATTGGAGATTAAAAATTTGATGAATATACCGGAAAAATATAAAACTATTGATTTAACCATCACAAATGTAATAGGCGAAGCATCCCCAGACACCGAAACTAAAATATATATTTTAAATGAGCAGATTTGATTAATTTTCTTCCAAATGCTAAATAAGTACAAGTTTAAGTAACGAGACTCGACGATTTATCAGATTTAATCTATGTCTCACCAAGTCAAATTTAAAAGTCTCTATAATATCATATCAGTAGTAAATAAATATTTATAAGAGATTTCCACCTATATACTTACTCATCACGATATCTCTGGAACCAACAGTGGTAGAGCCACGCGGCAGCTGTTGCTGTCGCACGGATGGGCCGGCTCGAACCGGGGTGGTACCACGACCTCACATAAAACCAGCGTGAAGTAGAGGTTTACGTCTGCGTTTCGCTTGGTGAGTGCAGGTGGCCGGAGGCCCTTTTTACTGGAAATGAGGCATTCCATCTTAGTCCTCACGGGTGACAACGCATCTACATTTTGATTTGTAATAGAGGATAGATGTAGATATCAATGGGCCGCAGCAACCACTTACCATCAGGTGGACTGTGTGCTCGTTTGTCACCCTTATCCTATAAAAAAAAACCATAAGACCTAGAGACTTGAAATTTGACAAGAATATTCCTTTCGCCGAGTAGAGGTAAGCTAAGAATGGATTTTACGAAATACTACCCGCAAGAGGTGTTGCGGGAGCGTTAATTTAAGAAAAATCACATTTTCAAACTATAGCTCTTATAGGTATAAAACGTGACCAGAATATATTTTTTTTTGGTGTGTTAAAAATTACCACGAACGGATTTCATGAAATTCCACCCACAAAGGGCAGTGCGGAATTGTTAAAAATAAAAAATCTCTATATATAAAAATCAATTGCTGTCTGTTAGTCGCGATAAAACTAAAACCGGCTCAACCGATTTTGATGAAAATTTTTTGTGCGTTTGAATGGATCCCTAGATGGTTTAGATTCAAAATTGGACCCGGTAGGTGGCGCAGTTGTGGAGATCCAGAAATCACTCGTGCGAAGCTGGGGCGGACCGCTAGTGTACTTATATATACATTATCTTATTACATTACTTTCTCTCTCTACTACTACGCAATATTTTACAGATTCGCACTTTATCTTTAAAATGTTTATAACCACTGGCAGTAGGCACAAAAAGGGTTTCGTTTTTAGTAATCTATAGTATAAAATACTCACATGAAGCAGACGATGAGAAAAACTTGACAAAGTCCATAGACATGGGCAGGATGAACATCAGGACCACAATGAACATGGACGTTACACCGTCTTTTACCTTCCTGTATAATTTTAAATAAAATATGTTATAGATTAATATTAAACTACATGTGGCTTAACAATATACCATGTGCTTACTTCATCATCATCATTACAGCCCTTCATCACAAGTCCACCGCTGAACTTAGGCCTCCCCCAAAGAATCCCACAAAGCAGGGTCCTGAGCCACCAGCATTCATCGACTTCCTGCATGTCTTACTAGGTCGTCACTCCATCTAGTGGTGGAATGTGCTTGCTTGCTCATCTTAATTATGACTGTATATACACAGGGTTTGGCGGTAAGTCTTTTGCCAGTTTTAATATCAGATTATAATAATTTGTTATATTTACGTGAATCCTATATAATAGGCATTTTCACGATAATTTTACTTATTTTTTTACTTACATTTATTTGGTAATGGGAAGATTGAGGTGCTTTACGCCCTGATATAATAATACCGGGTGTTTGTGAAACGCTCCCGAAAACTAAGACAGACGATAGTACCAACTATACCTTTGATCGTGGGTGAGAAATAAAATCGATACTGAGGAAAAAAATCATTTTTTCGCAACGTCATTAGCTTTATTCACATCCCATCATGTTGGTAATTCAATGTAATAGTAATAAAACTATAATTTCATTAAAAAAATCATGAAAATACTTAAAAATAAATAAATCATAAAATCAGCTGACAATAGGGTCAATATTCTCAGGGACGCCGAACTCTGTATCTAGCTTGGTGCGAAACAATGCCTACTGACTCTACCCTTCCCTTCACATACGCGATACCGCCGCCCGGCCGGCTCGTGTCGCCTCGCGCTGTGGAATTTACACATGTCAGCTTTGCCAACATGTGGGGAATTCCCAAAATTGCGGGGAATTTAAAGTTGGTTGGGGATTTAATTTATTTTATTTTACGGGGAAAATACGGGGATTTTGAAAATGAAAGCCAGCCCCAAGTCAGAACCTTTTTTCAAGAAATCTAAATACTTATCTTAACATTTTGTTAGGTTACTTATGCATATCGAATGACTCCCTTTTTTAATTACCTTCATTGCACCACATTTAATATTCGGATTTATTTCGACAACTTTTGTGTATCATTTAATGCTTTTCATTTCTTTACTTTTTGAATTTTAAAGAAAAGAAATGTTAGTTAAAAAGTAAATGTTATAAAATTAGTTGAAGATAGATTCATTTCTTAAAATAAAATAGAGGGGAATTTGTGAGGAATCTGTTGAAGTTTTGTCCTTAAATTGGGGAATTTGACATGTATTTTCGGGGAATTTGACAAATTGGTGTTGGCAACGCTGCCATGTTGCACGGAAATTTAATTTGCCGGGGACATAAGTAGAGGCGTGAATCACTATAAAACTTGCAAGTAATTTTTAAAAAAAACTTGACGTACCCCTTTTTAAATTCAAAGTAATCGTCGAATTAAATACGGATAGTCAATTAAAATAAAGTAAAAGTATTAGTTTTTACATTAATTCTGATAGATTAATTAACTGTCGATCATAATTGCAATTGATTTTAACTATTAAATTATTCAGTACAATTTCATTTCTATTTTCTTATACAAAATATAAGATAACGATGAAAAAGTGTTTATAATTGTGTAAGTGAGTACTGAGTACCCAATTAGGTACATTTATTAATTTCAATATAGTTTTTGTAGTAAAGAACTGCTTGTTGCGTCAGGGTACAATTGTTTGTTTAATTGTATTAAAAATGACAACCATAACTTCTAAATTCCATATGAAAACTAGTAGTAGGGATAACTAAACTTGGCAATGTCGTATGGGTTTTACGGTCTGTGGAAGAGCTCAGTGCTTCAAAGACGAATGCCTCGTGCGCATTTGTTTTGGCGGGATTGGTTATTAATTTTAGTTTTTGAGACAGATCCGTGTAGACTATCACGTGCGCGGGAGCGACAGTTCAATGGTTTTGTTTATTACATTCTTGCTGTAACGTTTTGTTTTTCTTGTTTTGTTTTAAATAATGCATAACGCGTGAATACGGCAACATGTTAATGTGCCTTGAGGAATCTCATACTTACTTAGGATTTAGATTGGTAAGCTGTTTCATACCTAATTTTTGTTAAATAACTTAATACTGAACTCATCTGAATAGGAACATAACTGAATACATCAGAATAATAAAAATAACTACACGACAGATAAAAAAGCATGACTCTAAACCTTGTTAACATTTCATTTAAGTAATGTTTTTATTAGCGGAGAATCGAACCAGGTATTTGGTTTATTTAATCTGTGAATAAAGTGGCTAGGTGGAGACAAGCCCAGTGGCAAAATAGTAAGTAGATAAGTCAGGTATTTAGACAAGTGTTGTAAATTATTAGGTGTTGTGGTATAGCCCACTAGCTGCGGGCCGCGCGAATTCGGCTTTCGCGCGTACATTGACCCCTAGTCAGCTGATTGTAATTCAGTAATTCCACTGCTGGTTTATGTTTAAGTATTTTCATTATTTTTTTTTATGAAATTATCGTTTCATTTAGTTGTAATAGCTGTAAACATGATGAGCGTGAATAAAGCTAATAAAACGTTGTGAAAAGATGATTTTTTTTTCTCAGGATCTATTTTATTTCTCACCCATCAGCAACGGTATAGTTAGTACTATAGCCTGTCTTCGTTTTCGGGAGCGTTTCACGAACACCCAGTATATCCTTAAGGACTACAAAATACAGTGATTTTGTATTGTATAGATCAGACGACCTGAAAGCAGCCAGGATTAACTCTGTCATTAGAATATTAAATACCTCAGTATTTAAAATGACCAAGAGTGCTATAAGTTATTCAAAGCCATAAAATCCGTAAGAATTAGTTTTCTTTCTATATTAAATTATGATTTTGTTGTATTATAACGTAATAAAGCTATAACAACATTACTCACATTGTTGTGATGACATCAGCCCACCCGGGCATGAAGCCGGGCTTGCGGAATATGTAGAGGAACACTGCCAGGATGAATAAGAAACCAGAAGCCTGCAATAAACAGATGATTCCATTTATTCATACATTATAGCCTACCATAGTCCACTGCTGAACATTGGTTTTCATTTTTACTTATTTAAAAAAAAACGTTACCCCCGCAATAGAATTTTCTCCTGTATCGTTAATAGTTTACATACATAATTTGACAAGAACCTCCAGAAACGGAACAATTGTTTATAGGTCATACAAATACTTGTTTCATGCAGGATTCGAACCCACGGCCCCAGCGCCGGGAGCCGTCGATTCTTCCTCTCAGTGTTTCCTTAAGATTGCTTCATAGAGGGTCATTAGCCATAGTTACCACGCTTGGTAGTTGCGGGTGTCAACTTCAGTTTTCGTTACTATTAGTTGGTATCATGAAGATGCTGCTGCTCATCTCCTGTTTCATATCTCTATGTTGCCTCTAGCGACACCCATGGGATGATATGAGGTAGTGGTTTCTCTCATGCCGCTACTACATTATGTGTTTTATTTTAATTAATTTAATGTATTTGTGACTCATATTAAATATAAATTTTAGCTTTCTGCACACGATAAAATACCTTTTCGTGGAAGGTGACAGGGCCGAGATTCCTGTATTGATCTTTAATCACTTTCATTGTAGTGAAGGAACCAGAAGACGCCTTGTTCACATTCTTAGCTGCCTCACTGTTTGGCCTGAAATAAAAGAAAGAAACTAAAATGCATTTTAAAGATCACATAATTAGGTTTATATTTTTAAGCTTGTTTAGAAAGTTTTCTTAACCAAGAAAAACAATTAAATTGGCTATAAAAATATAATGATTATTTCTTATATTTACGCGAACACAACACATTGAATAAAACTAGCTTATTTACGGACTTTACCGACACTTAAGTGATTTTTTTTCGACGTTTAGAGTACTTTACAGCACCCACCATCTTAAAATTATAATTCTTAAAAATTATAAATCTTGTATCTTATGTCGTCTTTGCTATAAGTTCTTTACTGCGTAGATCGGACCAAAAATAAATATTTTTACGCTAAAGGCCGTAGATAACTATGACAGTGGGACGTTGAAAATCTCAGTCCCACCGTGAATGGGTGCTACAAAGTCAATGTACTCGAAACGCCGAGAATATAAAAAAAAATAATTAAACGCGAGAAAATCTATGAAAAAAAAAGCTAGTTATGTTCAATATAAAATATATTTTTAAAAGCGTTTTTTTATAGGGTAAGGGTGACAAACGAGCACACATTCCACCTAATGGTAAGTGGTTGCTGTGGCCCATAAATACCGGGTGATTTTGAAACGCTCCCGAAAACGAAGACAGATGATAGTAGGTACTACACCTTAGCACATGAGTCACAAATAAATTTGAAAAAAAATCATCTTTTCACAACGTTTTTTTAACTTTATTCACGCTCTCATCATGTTAGTACAGCTAAATGAAACGATAATTTCATAAAAAATATCATGAAAATACTTAAACAAAAACCAGCAGTGAAACTTAAAAAAACATCAGCTGACGATAGGGTCAATATCCTCGCGGGCGCCGAACTTTTATAGGTCCCACCACGTAAAAACGCTGGCCTTGAACCTGGGCACTGAGCGATTTATCGATCAAATTGGTGTTACGGAGTTTCATTTTTTAGTTTTATTTCTATTTTCTTATACAAAATCGAAGATAACGATAAAATAGTGTTTATAATTGTGTGAGTACTGAGTACCCAATTAGGTACGTTTATTAAATCAATAATTTTTTGTAGTAAAGAACTGCTTGTTGTGTCAGGGTACAATTGATTGTGTAATTGTATTAAAAATGACAACCATAACTTTTATCTTGCATATGAAGACTAGTCGTAGGGATAAAACTTATAAATTAAATAAACGTTGGAAATGTCTTAACATACATAACGCTTTAACGGTGTGTGGAAGGTTCCAGTGATTCAAGGACTTTACATTGTGCGCATTTGTTTTAGCGTGTTTGATTAATAATTTAAGTTTTGAGACAGTTCCGTGTTGACTATCACAAGAGACAGTTCAAATGTTTTTTTTATTAAATTATTGTCGTTATTACTTGTTATTTATTACTTAATGATATTATTCTTGTTGTTATGTTTTAAGTTTCTTGTTTTGTTTTTATAATGCCTAACGCGTACTTTTATAGTGCTTGTGAATACGGCAACATGTTAATGTGCCTTGGAGAAGCTTGCGCGAATGCTTCGCATGCATTGCGAATTTACCGAAAGAATTCCCCGACCGCTCGACATCCAGCTGACTCTCGTCTGATAACAGCAGCATTTCAGCAAGTGTTGGAAAATCTGCCCATTGCTCTGGGGTAGCGGCAGGAGGTGGAAGTCAAGTGGTTGTTCACTCAGAGGAGCGTAGTTTAGATGTCGTCCGCCGGAATCCGAACCTAGGTACACGCAGTGTCGCTAAATTGTTAAGGCGTCGGGATAGAACAAGTGTGTCATACTGTACAGTTCACAAAGTGTCAAAGCGTAACCGAATGCGCCCATACAAAGTGTACAAAGTGCAAGCTTTAGTTCCCGGCGATCACGACCGGCGGCGAGTTTTCTGCTGTTGGTGAACGTGTGCCTGGTTTCATTGAGCACGTCACCACGGAGGATTTAGAGCGGTAAGCTGTTTCATACCTAATTTTTTTCAAGTAACTTAGTACTGAACTGATCTGAATAGGTACATAAATGAATACATCGAATAATAAACCTACCTACACGATGAATAAAAACGCATGACTCTAACCTTGGTTACATTTCATTTAAGTATTTTTGTAATTAGCGGGGAATCGAACCAGTTATTTGGGTTATTTAACCTGTGAATTCGAATTAAAAAAAGTAAAGTTGGTACTGTAGTCTGTCTTCGTTTTCGGGAGTGTTTGAAAAATACCCTGTATGTACATCTATTCTCGATTACGTATCAAAATGCAGATGCGTTGTCAGGTCACCCGTGAGGACTAAACTGTTTACAGTAAAAAGGGTCTCCAGTTCTCTACACTCACCATACGAAACACAGCAGTGTTAGGTTGCTATTTTACGCTGGTATTCTGTGAGAGCGTGGTCGTTCACCGGTCGAGTCGACCCATTCGTGCCACAACTATACTATACTAATATAGCTGCAGTATGGCTCTACCACGTTAGTTAACTGTTTACTGGCCAATACTAACCTGAACAACCCCATAAAAGTGACTTGAAGTGAAACCCAGACGAGTAACTGCATCAGAAGCATTGCTGGAGTGCTGTACGCCATAAACCAGAAGAAGTTTACAGATCCAGAAATCTCGGGGAACTCACTGCAACGGAAATTTAATAATTTATATTTTATATTACAAAATGGCGTCTCGGCTTCACATGTGCTGACAGTATTTTTAGTCACTTTAAAATGAATATACAACAGAAAGCAAACAATGAGGGCTAATAATTACACGATCACCAGATGTCGCTAGTCGGTAAACTTGTTTATTACGCAGATGTCTACACAGTTGCATCATCGTAGAAAAGTTGCGATTTAATTTTAAAAAAATGACGGTTTCTAATGTATGTATATACACAAACAATGCCTCACAGTGCTTTATTCTTCAATTTTTACACATTTTTTACTTTTTTAATTCTTCTACTTTTAAAAATATACGTAGTTTGATTTATCCATTTCGAATCTAAATTATATAAAACTAACTAATATTTCTGAAAGAAACATTGACCTTTTCACTTTTCTAACAAATTAGTTCCCCTGCTATGAAATCTGCCAAATATTTCATAAATCTGTGGATGCTGGAAAAACCAGATTTATAAAAGCATATAAGTTTGTTTAAATAAAAATAACTTACGAGTCGAAAATTCCTTTGAACGCGGAATTAGTGGCGGTGCCCACTAGAGTACCGCAACCACCGAGGGTAGAGGCATAGGCGATACTCAGGTAGTAACAGATGGTGATATCGCTTGGGAGTGGTGGTCTGGAACAAAATGCAAATGTTAGGGTTTTGTAAGATGTGTTTGATGGCTTGATGTCAACTTTAATCACACTTTCCTTATCACTAAACACAAATTTCGTGTGGGCTACTATATCACACACCCCACCAAAGAACTAAAATAAGAACAGCTAAATATCTTTTTTTTTACTTGAATCTCTTTAAAAACATGATGTCTTCAAGTTGAGATTGTTCTAAGAAAAATGACACAAAGTTTTTTTTTTTTGATAGCAGAGGAGACAAACGAGCATGCGGCTCACCTGATGGAAACTGTCGACCGCCGCTCATGAACAACTGAAACACCAGAGGAATTGCAGGTGCATTGCTGGCCTTTTAAAAAGGAGTAAGCTCGTTTCTTAAAAGTCCCTAAGTCGTATCGGAAAAATCGTTGGTGGTAAACAATTCCACAAAATACACGCGCGAGGAAGAAAACTCCTAGTAAATCGCATACTAGTGGACCGCCAAGCATCCAGATGACGTAGATGGTAACGTAAGTTTTGTCGCGATGTGCGTTGATGAAATTTGGTGACTGGAATTGATCCGAACAATTCCTCAGAGCATGCAGTGAGTCGAGCCGATCGGAACGAACTCGGTCGTCGACGATTCGAGCGGTACTTCGCTGAATGCGGTCAAGTGGAAGGAGCTGGCACTGGGGAGCCCCAGCCTAGAGATGGGAACAGTATTCTATGTGAGACCGACCCTGCGACTGTAAAGTTGCAGGCGGTGTGCCGGCATGAAGTACTGTCCTGGTTTGCTGAATACACCGAGCTTTTTGGAGGGCAATTTGGCCTTCTCTTCCAAGTGACCATGAAACTGCACATCATTCGATATGTCGACGTCGAGGAATCCCATACTGACTGAGGCAACAAGGGGAGTGCCCTGAAACTGAGGAGATACCACAAAGGGTTATTTTAAGTGGTAAACGCGCAAACTTGTGTCTTCTGACGATTAAACTGGACTAGATTTAGTCGCCCCCAATCCGAGACTTTGTTCAACAAAGACTCGACTTCAGACACAAGTTTGTTTCGGTACTCGGCGACTTTTTACCAAGAAATATTGGCACGGCCGGTGTATAGAGCATCATCAGTGCTGTCATTCGCATAGCAATGAATGTTACTGATTTGCAAAATATCTTTGATATGCAGAAGAAACAGCGTTGGTGATACCACGCAGCCTTGTGCAACACCAGTATTAATAGGCTTGTAATCGGAGCATGCACCATCTACAAGGACCTTGATGCTCCAATCTGCAAGAAAGCTGGTGACCCAATTGCACAATTTCTCGGGAAGCCCAAAGAAAGGGAGCTTCGAAAGAAGCGTTTTGTGCCAAACCCGATCGAAGGCCTTCGCAATGTCCAAACTAACTCCCAATGACTCTACTGAACAGAAGATCACCAGTTGATCGACCCCGACGAAAAACGTATTAGCGGTCACTAATCAGCTGGTGATCCTCAAGGTACCGCATGAGCTGGCAGTTTATAAGCTGCCCATAGAACCTCTCAATCGCACTCAAAATCTCAAGTGTCCTGGAATCGATGCCGCCACATTCGGCCTTCAGCTTTGACAGTTGGCTCTTTCTAACAGACAGATCTCTGGCAAAGACTTTGAAGCCCTGGTTCCGCTCGATCGCTTTTTCAATACGAGCAGTATTAAATGGATTCCATTATTTTGGAGAACAAGGAGGTGATGGCGATAGGCCTGTAGTTAGACGGATCTGAGCGGTGGTTTTTTTTTAGGGATCGGGTGGACAAAAGCCATCTTCCATGATTTCGGGACTACGCCTACGGAATAGGAGTACCGGAAAAGACGTGTTAGAACTGTTGACAACTCTGGAGCACACGACCTCAGCACAATTGGGGGGATTCCGTCAGGTCCATTCGACTTATGGATGTCTAGGATGTGTTCCCCCCGTCATCGAGAGTCAAGTTGAACGCAACGAAAGAGCCTAGCAGATCGGCTTTCTCCTTTGCGGCATGGGGCAAGTGAGTCGTCCTCCCTGTGCAGAGATGGAAGAGATGGTTGACAAAAGTTCCCTTGGACTGCCTTGGCGAGAAAGCAGAATGGACGGGTTCCAGAAGGAAGGCGAACTAGTTTCTCGCCAATTTTACCTATGTGATCTGACTCTGCCTTGGCAAGGACTCTTTTGAAGGACCTTTAGGCGGAATTATACTTCTTTTTAAAGTGTTTACATCCCGGGACGTTGATGCGTCAGCCCAGGCCCAGTAGCACTCATGCTTATAACATGATGCTATTTTACAGGAGCGACTAAACCATGGCTGAGATCTGCCTCCGATGGGCACCTTAGAAGAAGGAATAAAAAATTCCATACCCTGAAGTACCACATCAGCGATAGAATTAGCAACAACGTTAGGATCGTTCGGCGAGAAGCAAACCCGCCTCCAAGGGTAGGATGCAAAGAAAGACCGCATCCTATCCCGACCTATAGTACCGAACACGGCGGCAGCCTGCAAAATGCAACCGCAATTTCAGCGTGAGTGGCACCACACTCCGGACTAGACAATGGTCCGAGTAGCCAAGACGTGCGTTTTTTTTTCGGATAAGGGTGACATACGAGCACACAGTTCACCTGATGGTAAGTGGTTGCTGTGGCCCATAGACATCTACATTTATCCTCGATGAGGAATCAAAATCCAGATGCGTTGTCACCCGTGAGGACTAAGATGGAATGCCTCATTTCCAGTAAAAAGGGTCTCCGGTTCTCTACACTCACCATACGAAACACAGCAGCATTAAGCTGCTATTTTACGCTGGTATTCTGTGAGAGCGTGGTCCTTCCCCGGTCGAGCCGACCCTTTCGTGTTACAACTATACCAGAATTATAGCTGCAGCATGGCTCTACCACTGTTGAAACTACCGTCTAAGCCATATATCACACCTTACACAACATACCATCTTACCTTTATTATCACAAAAGGAAGATATCACATCGCGACAAAATTCACGATACTATCCGCACCATCTGGATGCTTGGCGGTCCACCACTGTCCAATTTACTAGGGGGTTTTCTTCTTCGTACTTCTTTGTGGAATCATTTACCACCAATGATTTTTCTGGACCGATACTACTTAAGGACCTTCAAGAAACGGGCTGAATCTTTTTTAAAAGGCCGGCAAAGCACATAGTATTCCCCTGGCGTTATTCACTTACCATCAGATGAGCCGCATGCCTGTTTGCCCCCTCTTCTATAAATAAAAGATTTATATTCATGCAGTCATACATAAATTCATCCACACAAATATTGTAAATGGATCTTACTCATCCTCCGTGTTTTTATTATGCGCCGGTTTAACGTCTTTCCCATTATCAGGCAGAGCATTCCTCTTTCTGTTAACGTAAACATCTCCTAGCCCTTGCTGTAACATGAAAAGGTAAACATTGTTTTATAAAAGTTAAATACATCATTCATTTTAAACGTAATCTTCAGATTATTATACTCTAGTACTAGTAGCAGCATAAGAAAATCCACTAACCTATCGTACATCACCCCGTGGGTGTCGTAAGAAGCGACAGAAGGAAACCGAAACAGGACATGCGCAGCAGCATCTTCTTGATAACAATTCGTAAATAAAAAAAAGGGGAACCGCATGCCACGCGTGGCAATTATGGCAAATATCCACCCTATGTGGTAATCTATGCGGGAGGCCTATATTTAACAGTGGACTTTTGATAGACTATTAATATGGTGTGGAAGCTTACCCTTCATACGAAATGGTAGTAGAAACCAATACCAATCTAGACGGATTTCTAGGCAGGAAAGGACACCTATAATCTAATGAACCTTACTCGTTTCTAAATAAAATTTTAAATGTGTCTAAAGTTTTTTACGTGGTAGAGCCATGCTGCAGCTATACTAGTAGTATAGTTGTAGCACGAATGGATCGGACGGGTCGCACGCCTGGGGAAGGACCACGCTCTCACAGAATACCAGCGTAAAATAGCAGCTTAACGCTGCTGTGTTTCGTATGGTTAGTGTAGAGAACAGGAGACCCTTTTTGCTGGAAATGAGGTATTCCATCTTAGTCCTCACGGATGACAACGCATCTGCATTTTGATTTGTAATAGAGGATAGATGTAGATGTCTATGGGCCACAGCAATCACTTACCATCAGGTGGACTGTGTGCTCGTTTGTCACCCTTACTTATAAAAAAAAATGTTACATTTGTATTTCGTACCAAATAAATTATATTACATTAAACAACATACCTGTTCCAAAACCTCAAGTATGGCCTCAACAATCGGCACCATCATAGTCGTAGCAGCAGCATTTGAAACCCACATTGATATGAACATGGTCACAAATGTAAGACCAAAGTTCAATCTGAAAGTGACAAAATAAAAACAATAGAATAGTGGGTCAGGATGGTAAGGTCTCAGCTATACAGAATTTCCACAAAAAAACATCTTGTTTAGTGTTTTATAAAATATGCAAACCAGCGACGGCGAGGGGCGTCTAAGAATCGAAATGTCTGGTCCTGCGATATATTCCCTATTTTGGAAGACCCATTTCCAGCAGTAGGACTATTTAAGGGTTTATAAAAAATTAACAATGAAAATTAATTCTGTCAGTCTCAATAATTCTTCAACTTTACTAAAATCCTTTCATAAATTAATAAATGAGGACACTACAGTTCCTGTTCTATTTCTCCTCTTCTAAACGCAATTAAGGACATTCACGGAAAATATTGCAATAGCCTAAACCTATCCACCCTTACGAGATGGGGACAGGTTCAGGCTAAGAAGGGTGGTATCAATTCTACTCTCACCAACCCGCCTTCGTTATGTGGTGAGAATTTATTTTTTTCAAAAACTAACTCTCTTAAGAAAAACAATAGACTTAATGGTGATAGCAAGCAAAAATTTTTGATTTTAATTAAAACATGTATAAAAACGTTTGTATGTGGTAGAGCCATACTGCAGCTATATATTAATAGTATAGTTGTAGTGCGAATGGGTCAGCTCGACCGGGGATGGACCACGCTCTCACAGAATACCAGCTAAATGCTGCTTTGTTTTGTATGGTGAGTGTAAAGAACCGGAGACCCTTTTTAACTAACCACTTCACAAAACAACATAATAATTGTGGTGGTATGAGAAGGTACCCGTGGAAGTTATCTGTACCACAGGCAGCCACAACTTGTTTTGCTAGAAATAGTTATAGCATGTGCGTTCGATTATTTAATTTACTTCCAAACCATATTCAAAACTTGACATTTAATCAGTTTAAAAAAGTTATTTTCGGGACTCTCATTGAAAACTGTTTTTATGACGTAAATGAATTTATTAAATTCTGCCGTGACGGTCACCTCAAGCGAATTGTTGTTATTTGAAATTTTAAATTGACAAATTAATTAGAATTTGTAAGATTGACATTATACTAGTTTGACATTATGCATTATGACATGACCATGCCTGTATATTTTTTATTATTTTTTCTCTTTTTACATTTTTTTTTTTTTTTTTTATAGGAGAGGGGGCAAACGAGCATGCGGCTCACCTGATGGTAAGTGACTACCGCCGCCCATGAACAACCGCAACACCAGGGGAATTGCAGATGCGTTGCCGGCCTTAAATAATAGATATTTTTATTAGATAATAAATTTATTGACATTATATTGCTTTATTAAATTTTGATATGAAACGTTACTGTAATTTTGTAATTTTAATTATTCAATTATTGCATGTGGACTTAATATTTGCACACTGATAAATCGGTAAAACATGCATGTTCACACTATATTATAATACCTAAAAATGTACCATGTTTTATGCAAATAAATATTTTATTATTATTATTATTTACTGGAAAAGAAGCATTCCATCTTAGTCCTCACGGCTGACAACGCATCTGCATTTTAATTTGCAAACGAAGATAGATGTAGATGTCTATGGGCCACAGCAACCACTTACCATCAGGTGGCCTGTGTGCTTGTTTGTCACCCTAATTCTATAAATAAATAAATTAAGAAAAACATAACACTGTGGTAAAAAGAGCCAAACACACCTTCTATGCGAACATCCGACAACTTGCACAGTCCATAATGCTACCCTTTTCGGTAGTTTTGAGTGCTGGACACCTGCAGCTATCATCAGTCCACCCATGAACATCATATTCGTCTCCTTCATATACGCCGCGCAGGTTTTATCAGAGTCGAGGATGCCCAATGTTGGAAACAATACAATGGGCAGCATTGATGTTACAGGCAATGGCAGTAATTCCAGGACCCAAAATGTTGCCATTATTAAAACCACATACATACATTTGTATGCCTGTAAATAAAACATTCTTTGTATGAAATTTATAATTAATATTATTGAGCAAGTACACACATACATTTTACACTGATTACTCAAAGACAAGTATGGTTATTTGAAAAAATATTAATATGTTATACATATGTGTTGTCAACAGTAAAATAGCGACAGTAGAATAACGACTGTGTTTTACCATATTTCTTTTATTTCTGATATAGTTTTAGAGCTGGCAGGATTTCGCTGCGTTACTCCAAAGCGTATTGGGAAAATTTAAGTTTGAAGTTGTCATGCAAGTTACCTCCCAAACATTTTACAATGTTAAAATTTGTATAACATCTATTTTATCTAGACTAAAATTTGTAACATTGTGAAGTTTAACTATAAACTCGAGATTGTATTTTAGTAGCCTAAGTATATAGCGCCGTAGTGTAGATTTTTTGCAATTTTAAGTACTGAATTATTAAATTTAGCATTAAAGGAAATTCTTGCGAGGTTACTTTAGATATATTTGATAGGTATATAAGTTTTATTTAGAATAAAAGAACATCATCATCAAAGCACATCCTCAGCATTTTTTTACTTTTTGTTTAAGATTTCTTATTTGGTCCTTCGGAACCGGATATAAAAATGTTATCATAAGTTATTACAAAAACTAGGAATGTTTGTAAAGATTATAATAAAAAGAATATATAAACTCACCCTTGCAGATTCTGAACCAGCATTTAAAATAGGAATTGGTAACAATATTAATGGTGTTAAGATCACTATAAGGGATTTCCAATAAATAGAAACAAACAGACGTATTCGTTGCCATAGTGATGCGCTCGATCTACTTCTGGAAAAGAAATATGTGGTACCGCTGGAAAAGAGAACAAACACACAAATTACAACCTGTAGATGCCCGGACACTAATAGTGCTGAAAAGAAGCATTTATTCCAAAACAAAATGGCGTCAAACTGACTGGTAGTTTTTTTTTTTTAAATAGAAAACTAAAATAATTATTAGAATAGAACAGGTGTGGATTTTGTAAAAAGTATTTCCATTTATTCAGTAAAGTAAATAATCAAACAGATCATTGAAAAAAGTACCTGTCAGTTCTTGCAAAAATTAAAAAGAAAAAAAAGTAATATACAAACTGCTATAACTATACAAATAAAAAAAGCAATAATTACATTTAATTCAAGAAATGAGTACCATTCCCTTATTATCTAAAATAGTAAATCATAAAAGTAATGTTGCAATATAACATATTTTTATTAGATAAATTGTAAATGTGCTACACCAAATTAAAAACATTGAACTGAACTAAATATTGCATAAGTCATAAATCTACAATAATTAAAAATATTAAACTTGTTGTATATATAATATATATTTCATTAGTAGGTACAAAATAGGATAGAAAACTGTTCACAACATCATAAAAAACACTGAAAGACAAGGATTTCCTTCTGAGAAAAAATTCAAATTACAAGAACACACAGGTGCAGGAAAAAAATCAAAATCACTTCATTTAAAGTGTACTTAGAAAAACTTTAAAGGGGTTGCTATTGATAAATAATAAAAAGGCAACACAACATTTTAAATAATAATACTAGTGTGCAATACCCAGTGATACTATCCTTATTTACTGCAAATAAAACTGTGAGGTAAAATCAATTACACAGAAAAAATGTTCAAATAAATGGCAACCCTGGACATGCAAAATATGCTTCAACATGCATACAGTGATGTTGCATTCTACAGGTACCAGCCACTTACAAACAGTTAGTACCGGGCTACACAGGTCTATGTGTATTTATTTCTTAAAATTTCATGGTATTATTACTTTTTACTTAGCTGTAAGAAAATACTTTGAACAATAAAAAAAATTTAAAACTGCTTCAAATCTACAATACAATATTTATAATTGATTTAAAAGATAAAACTTAAATAGATCAAGTTTTTAAATAAATCATTCCTGCTTTAATTAATTACTGCCTATCCGCTGCTGAAGCCTCCCCCATTCAATGCCTACTAGAGGGGCTATTTGTCATAGTTGCCAGGCTTGGCAAGCGGGTTGGCACTTGTGTGTAAATTTATGGGGTAAATTAGTATGGTGCAGAAACATTAAGTTATTACTGTTTCTTAATAGATATATTAGTTTCTTGAAAATTACTTGATGTTCTTATTTGAGCTGATTATTGACAGTAAGTCTTAGTTTAAAAAAAATATTATCATTATTTGTTACCAGGTGCTAGAACTTATTTTCTACCAGTAATATTACTAAAAGGTACCACCATCCTATCTACTTCTGCACCCAAATAGCAGCACTTGTGTATTCTTATCTGTAGAGTATAGAGCCAGTAAATCTAAGGCTGTGAGGCATTCCATCATAGTCGGCAGAGGTAACAACACACCTGTAGCCTTCTTTGTGTGAAGTTGGCTGCAGATACCCATTGACTGCAGTAGTCACTTACCATCAGGTTGACTGTATATTTTTTCATCACTTCAGTTTTCTTTCTCATTAAAACATAATTAAGAACGTTCAAGAGAAGTTTCCTAAAAAATAAATGAAATCTATTGTACAGCAGATAAAAGAAACACGAGTTTTACCACCTAGTAAAGGATAGTAAGAAAATATTACTTAGCATCATGCTATTTACCCACAACTCTTATGTCAATAACACATATTTTCAGTATATTAGGAAATACTGTAAAATACAAAATAGTGTATGTAATACATTTCTACAGGATTACATTTAGCTGCCCTCTTCTACTATTAATTCAATCATAGGTATTGCACCTTTTTTCCTGCAGTCTGTATTATTTATACTTATATTTATGAATTAATAAGAATTTAAAGTTAGCTTTTAATCATCACCACCATCATAACAGCCCATTATAAGTTTACACCTAAGCATTAACTGCCCCCATAGTTCGCCACAAAGCAGTCCTGAGGCACCTGCATACATCAGTTCCTTACATGCTTCATTAGGCGATAAATAAGTATCTTGTGTCTTCATTCTATAATCGCCGTATATTGATATTTGGTGCAAGCTGTGCTGCGAATTTTATTGCATTTGTGGGGTTTAATTAAAGCGCATATGGCGCGTTGAAATAAAATGGAACCCAAATTTATAACAATTTTTAGTAAAAAAAAAAGGAATACCGAGCATCATCCCCCATGCCATTTTCCAAGGGAGCGGGACTAGACATTTCGGTGAAGGTTTTTACAGCCTACGTCTCCAAAATACTTGATTTTCTGATTATATCCTCTTCACATTCTCACCAATACCTGTAAAGGGATAATTTAATAAAAATTATAATAGACTGGATGTTGAAAATAATATTAAATACAAATTTGAAAAGATTTAATAATCTAATACTTTTTAGAATTCAAACAAAACGTATGTAAATTGACAACAAACAATGACGGCATAGATAAATATATATGAATGACGGTAATAATAATTTTGGTACTTTCGTTTGTGGTTTGGTACCATTGACTTGACATTTGATGACATTCGACAATAATTTTTGTAACAATTTTCGCGGAAAAGATTAAGGATATCAAAGAGAATGTATTCATCACTACATCTAAAAAATAATTATTGACAGGGTAGAAATATTACCAAAGATAGTTGGAGTTAGTGTGCTAAACGCACCAAAGAATTAAAATACAAGAGCACATTTGTTATTTGTCTTTTATAATCGAAGCGATCAGACGAATGAGTTTGAGTCGTGATTAATTAGCCAGCTGGTTTATGCTAGATTATGAGAAATAACATATTACTATTTCTCATAATATCGAATGGAGGAGAGGAGTTTTACGGAACGAAGGCTGCCTTAGAGCGAGCACACAGTCCTCCCGAGGGTAAGTGGTTGCTGTGACCCATAGACATCTACATCTATCCTCAGTAAATAATCAAAATGCAGATGCGTTGTCACCCGAAAAGACTAAGAGGGAATGCCAGTAAGAGGGAATTCCAGTAAAAAGGGTCTCCGGTTCTCTACACTCGCCATAAGAAACACAGCAGTGTTAAGCTGATATTTTATAGCGTATTCTGTGAGATATATATATGTCTTAGACCATCTCTCCTCCTTAAACTATACAGAATTGACTGTTATTTTTCGCGGAGAGAAATCTGCGTGCACTAAAACAATGGTCTGTCATTACATAACTCACACGTAACAATATGTATTTATTGTTACGTGTGAGGTATGTATAAACTAACAATTTCACACACACACATAAATTCATTATTACAGTATTTATTAGTATGAGGATATAAGATGAAACTACACAACTCAATCTTTCAATTAAATTTTAATAATAATTCAACAAATTCAGATGAGGATGTTGCAAAGGTTTTGAACAATATTTCGCCGACATTCCGATCTTGACTACAAAGTCACTCAATTCCTTCCCTGCTGTCACAGAGTCATTACTCAAACAAAAAGTAAATGTCTTTAAAAGAGAATTGGCATTTCATAAAATATTATTAGGAGATAATGTAAAATATTTCAAAACGATTGATTTGTACAACCGGCTTCAATATAAATTATTAAGAATTACTGAAAGTGAAAACTTAATTAAATTTATTAATTTATTGCTCAGAACTTAATTAAATTTGTGAAGCACCAGCTTTCAAATAAAAAAAAGAATCATCGAAATCAGTTCACCAAGTAAAAAGTTATAATCTATACAAATAAATAAAACAAGTGTCTGTTTGTAATGTCAAAATTACGGCTGTTTACTAAATGCATTGAAAGTATATACGATACTTATTACAAAAACACAGTTTTTAAAACTTTTGTCTGTCTGTCTTTTTGTTCCGGCTAATCTCTGAAACGGCTGGACCGATTTTGACGGGACTTTCACTGACAGATAGCTGATGTCATAAGGAGTAACTTAGGCTACTTTTGTTTTAGAAAAAGAATTAGGGTTTTGCGCAAAAAAAAATAAAACCCCAAATAACACGCGGGCGAAGTCGCGGAGAACAGCTAGTTTCATATAAGAACTAGTCTTTGATTTGGGCCCAAATCAATTCAATAGCATTATAATGGCAGTGGTTTGGTGGTTGTCTTGTGATATAATTAAAGATTAATAATCTTTGTATACCACCTGTTCTGATTTTTTTAATTCAAGCACACACGAGATGAATATATCTTATGCTTTGTGAAGAAAACGGAAGGTTTGCTGAATGAAGCATATACCCATGTCACAAAGGATAATTGGGCAAAAGTGGGGGAGAAAACAAAGAAAATTACTATTGATGACTTAGAAAGAGACATTCATTTTGACTACATTATTGAAAATCCAATAATAATTAATCTAAACAACGACAGCTCAACTACTTGTAGTGACAGTGACTGAATAAATTTATTTTTAATCTTATTTCAAAATTTTAATTTAACTAACTTTGCCTCTAGAAATAAGCAATAATAATAAATACGAAGAAACTGATAAATCTTGTGTTTTAAATTATTTCTAATTTATTTTGTTATTAATCGAAACAAAATTAAATGATTACCAACTCTAAAGAATCGATTATTGTACCTACCGATTTTTAGTTGACATGCCTAGTGTAATAAGTCTGACAGCTATCAAAAGGTATTTCTTACATTTGGTTGAGTATAAAGAGTACATAACCAAATGTAAGAAAAACTATCGAGTATAAAGAGTACATGATTGATATAACATCTGGATGAGGTGATCGCTACCATGCTGTTTCTGAATGTTTTCATAAGAATTCTATAAATATTATATTGCAAATCATACTCTTTTAAAAAAAATCCCTCTGGGTTTCTTCCTAGTTCTTATGATAGAATAGAATAGAAGGATATAATTTTTTTCCGAACCAGTAGTAAAAGTAAAAACTGATTTTTAATAAGAATTACATGTATTCCATATTGGATAAAAATTATTCTATTCTATTCTATTTTATGCAATCTATTTGTCAGATATATGAAATTAATTAAAATTAAGTTCTTTAGAACCCTGAACTAAAATTCTGCCTTTGATACTTTCTAAGAATATGCAATAAGTTGTTGTAGTCAAGCAGAATATTAATTGAGTTCTATGAAACGAGTTGTTCTAGCATTATCGTCATATCGGTTTGAAGTGTATTTTAATTCGGTAGAAGTAGTGCTATTATGTTTAATACATGTCTGTGCATGTTCTATTGAGTTTGACTTTTATCAAAATCTGGGTTAAGATTACAATTTGAGGAAATAAGTTATAAAGTTTTGTCAACAACCTAAAATCAGATTAGGCTGTATGTTTTAAAACCTTTGTTTGTCTAAATTGATTGTAACAAATAACTTATTTATGGTGTCACGTGTTAACTGTCATCTGTCAGTTTCAAAGTTATAAACGTCAAAAACAAAAACAATAACATTGTTGATTATTAAAAAAATATTAATAATATTACTATTTACGAAAGAGTAAATTACATTTACGATTCGATTCCTTCTTTTTGGAAGTATAATTCCATAAAACAATAAGTGCAGGTTGAATATTCAAAAATAATGAAACATGAAACGAAACAGGAGTCGGAGGGTGAGTCAATTTTCAATGCTGCTATAAACTTTGAATTCATGACGAATTTATTATTATTTAATGTTGTTACTTTACTTAACAGAACTACATAACAGGAATTCAGTATGAATTACATTTGTTCTGCATTGACAAGCTTATATCAAGCTATACTGATAAGAATCGGCGGCGTATAGGTTAATGGTAAATAAACTAAAATGTAAACAAAGTGGGTTTCCTAACCTTTCTCTTGTTCTTTTTTTATTACTAGCTTTTACCCGCGACTTTGTGAACTTTGAGCAAGTAGTTCAATTATCTAAAAACCTCTAACAACTTAGTTATTTTATTATCTCGAAAACTATGTGCGGTATGGGAAAAGTTCAATATCAAAATTGAAGATCTATTAATTTTATATAAATAAGGCTTTATCAAATTAATGTTACATTGTCTTTGATACTTTAGTTTGTTGATAAAAAAAATATTCTGCATCAAAACTTTATATTGTCTTAATTTTTTTATATCTCTTATAGTTTATGAGATTATTATCAAACCCTGTTATTTATTTATTTTATACTTCTATATTCTGCCATAATATAGGGCCGTGGTAGCTCAGATGGTTAGCGTTCGCTGTAAGTGTCACAGTAAGCGAGCAACCCAGTTCAATCCCCGCTGACACTAATGAAATTGTTAATTGCAATTTTAAGTGCCGATGTACCACGCGCTCGGCGGTGAAAGAAAACATCATGAGGAAATCTGCAATATACACATTGGGGCAGTGCGGCGGACATTTCTTTGCCTTAAGAAGAAACATACATAAATTGTGTGTAGCAAAGCAAAGAATATGACTATACTCAAAAAATGTATATTGTATGGCAATACATGTTTATAAAAAATTGCCTGTTTGTTTCAAAAAGATTGATATAGGAATCTTTAAAAGAAAATTATTTAATTTTCTTTTAAAATAATGTTGTTACTTGATAAATTAGGTACTTATTTAATGATAAATTTGACTCAAATGTTGTAATTATTGAAATTAATCTGAACTTAATTTATTGACATTAATGGTTCTGGTTTATGAACTCTTTAACTCAATAAATATATCCGGCTTGAAGGACCACTATGTTTAATTCGGACGTTGGTTTCGGTGACTAAAACTCAAATTACTCATAAAATTACTATATTATGAACATTCACAGAAAAACAGTCTCTTTTTTCTCAGTACTCATGACATCCGTCTTCAATATTCTTCACAATTATTTCAAAAAACTAAAATATAATATAACATATAAAACTTCTACTTACTAGCCACCAAAGCTGGTAATTCTGGCGGTATGAATGATGAGCTTGAAAGAAAACAGGCAGACTTTAGATGTTTAAATAAGAGAGTAAAAGAAGTTGTTGAAAGGAAAAAGCAAGAAAGGATAGATAAGAATGATAGAAGAATATCTGATAACTTCCAGGCAAATATTAAAATGTTCTGCAAGCTCGTAAGAACTGTCAGGGGAAATTCAAAACAGCCTAGAATGAATGCTATACTAGGCGAGAATGGCTGCATGCTGAATGATGAAGTTTCGAATTTAAAGAGATGGAACGAATACTTTGAAAGCATGTTTAAAAGTGAAGAGTCGTCTGAAGTAAGTGAAATAGAAATTCCGGAAGAAGTGAAGAGAGGTAGGAA